CTAACTGCTGGGGATATTTAGTTATATCGTACTGTGTACCATCAACACTCCTTGGAGTGACAGTTGTGGTCAGGTGATTTGAAAATGGCTGCCTCAGTGCAGACTTCAATCAGGGTGAACATGGATTGCCTGCCGTGCTGTTAACTGCGGAGTTACTTAAATCTCCTTCCCATACAAACATTTCACTCATGAGTGGCTGGCGTCTCTCAGAAGTCAACCATATGTGGCGACGCTGACTTATGAAAACAGATACAGTTCTCTGTAAATTGTATGTTGCCCCTTTCTATAAGTAGCGCTGGAACAACTTATAACGCAGAGCAGGAACATTTGGGGCCGCTTCAAATACATAATCAGTTTTGTATCCCTCCGGTGTTTGTCAGACAGGCCAGTGTGCATATTCCTTTCCCCTTAAATGAGAGACTAGCTCCTCATAGTGGGAGGAAGACGAAAACACTGCCACTGGGTGGCTTTTCATGGACAACTAAAGAAACTGTGTGAACTTTTGGTTTCAAAAATTATGTTTCCCTGGCTTGTAGAAGAGCGTGTTTGGATAACCCCCCAATACAGCTTCGCCTCTTCTAAAATTGTCTCACCGGACATTTCCAGAATTCGGCATAGCCTAGCAGAAGTGGCTGGAGTACTAAGCCCTTTGGTTTCCTTTGTGTCTTTTAGCCAAAGAAAGCCGCAGGACCTCTCAGGTGTTGTCTTTAGGGATCGAATTTTAAGGAGTGGGGCCACAGCTCTGTGGTAGAGGGCCGACAACAGGGTACAGAGGCTGAGGCCTTCCCCAGATGGTGCCTCCTGGCACTGGGATTCAGAGGTTTAGTGCCTCTGAAAGCGGAGGTTCCTGTTAGACACCATGGTTAGTAGCCAACAGACCTACCTTCCATGAATCTCTCTAATTGGCCATCATTACATCCTCTGGCAGCAAATTCCAGATTTTAATCACGCCTGTAAAGAAGTATTTCCTTTTGTTCATCCTGAATCTACCACCCATCCACTTCAATAGGTGCCCTTGAGTTCTAGTGTTTTGGGAGAGGGAGAAAAAGTTATCTCTGTCTGTTCACTCTTTCTATCTTGTGCATAATTTTATAAACCTCTATCATGTCCCCCCTTTAGTCATCTCTTTTCTAAACCGAAAAGTCCCAGACTCTTCAGCCATTCCTCTTAGGAAAGGTTGCCCTCTTCAGTACTTTTCCCAGCTCTGCAGTATCCTGCAGTGTGGCTGCACTAGAGATCTATCCAGGGGTATTATAATACTGGCCATTTTGTTTTCAGTCCCTTTCCTAATAATCCCCAGCACAGAGTTTGCCTTTTTACGGCTGTGGTACACTGGGTTGACATTTCCATTGAGTTATTGACGAAGACCACAAGATCTCATTCCCTCTCAGTTTCAGTAAGTTCAGATCCTATGGCCATATATTTAAAAGTTGGGATTCTTGTTCCACTGTGCATCACCTTACATTTATGAACGTTGAACTTCATCTGCCACATTTTTGCCCTCTCACCTGATTTGTGGAGATCCCCTTGGAGCTCTTCACAGTCAGCCTTGTTTTATCACCATCCTGAATAATTTTGTATCAATATGTTCTCGAAGGCTTTCGCGACCGGAGTTCATTAGTTGCTGTAGATTTTCTGGGATGTGTGGCTGTGGTCACAGTTTCTACAATGCCAAGACCACGACCACACATCCCGGAAAATCTACAGCAACTAATTTTGTATCATCTGCAAACTTGGCCACTACACTGCTCACCCCCAGTTCCAGATCGTTTATGAACAAATTAAATAGCACTGGCCCCAGTACTGAATGAATGAATGAATGAATGAATGAATGAATGAATGAATGAATGATGTTTATTTGTGGTCAAAGACCATTTATCAAAATAATACATGTTCATTCAATATAAGCTCTCAGCTCTAAAAATAAACATAAAACCTTAAAATCATTAAAATGTTAAAAGAAGAAAAGTTTAACAGTCCATTATATCAAAATAATTATAAGATGTTTAAAATTAAACTACTTATGAGTCATGCAAAAGCTAAATGAGGATTCTACTTGATCTGCTTCTTATTGTGAAATGTTACCAGTTGCAAGTAGAATTTTGCTATTTGTCTGGAGATCTGCTGATTTTTCTCTATCAAAAGCCTCTCTAGATCAGCACTATCTGCATCAAGTGCTGGTCTATCCAAGAGAGGGGCAATAAGCTTATCCCTCTAAACCTGATGAAAAGGACAGCGAAAGAACATGTGGAACATCAATTCCACTTCTCCCATACAGCATGGGCAGCACCTGTCTTCATATGGTATCTTTCTGTATTTTCCTTAGAGGGAATAGCCACACAACGAGCCAGGGTAAGAGCTCTTCTATAGGGTGGCACATCCAGATAAGTCAGGTATTTCGCCATTTTCAGTACATATCTGGACCAGAAAAGAAGGAGCTCGATTTAAATCCCCTTGGTGCTCTAGATCACAAATCCTTTGTTTTATTATACTTCTCGTTTCTAGGGGCCCCGATACTGATCCTTGTGGGACCCCACTGCTTACTTCCCTCCATTATGTGAACCGTCCATTTATTCCTACTCTTTGCTTTGTGTCATTTAACCAATTTTAATCCACAAAAGGACTCATTCTCTTATCCCCTGCTAAGCTTACTGAGGAGCCTTTGGTATGGTACCTTGTCAAAACCCTTTCTTTATGTCTCAAGTATGTAATGTCTACTGGGTCATTGCTATTTACATGCTTGTTCACTTTCTCGAAGAATTCCAAAAGGCTGGTGAGGCAGGACTTCGCTTTGCAGAAGCCATGCTGATTTTCCCTCAACAGGCTTTGTTTCTCTATGTGCCTAATAATTCTGTCTGTCTGAAGAAGTGTGTGTGCACGTGAAAGCTTATACAGAGAGTAAAACTTGTTGGTCTTAAAGGTGTCCCTGGACTCAAACTTAATTTTGTCTTTGATTACAGTTTCTGCTAATTTGCCTGGGACAGACACTGGGCTAACTGAGCTGTAATTTCCTGGTTCCCTTCGTTGCAACATTTGGTACTCTCCAATCCTCTGGTCCAGTGGTTGATTTTAGTGATAAGTTACATGCATGGGTTAGTAGATCATCTTAGTTCCCTAAGAACTCTCGGATGTATGCCATTGAGACCCGGAGACGTAATGGTTTTTAATCCTGTTAACAGATACAGAACTTCATCTCTAGTCCCCTCAGTTTGACTCCGTTCTTCTGACTCCCTTCCTGAAAACTTCATTGGGGCAGACCTTCCGCTTTTTAAGAGAAGCCTTTTTGCCTTTTATGGCTTCCTTGGCTTGCATTGTTAACCACGCAGGCATCCTTTTAGACTTCGCAGTCCTTTCCTAACCTGGGGGAGGCATTCTTTCCGGGCTTCAATGAGTGTGGTTTTAAATAGCTTCCAAGCATCCTCCAGGGATTTGATTGGCTCTCTGGCCCCCTTCAGCTTCCTTCTAATTTGTCTCCTCATTGATTGTACAGTTCCCTCTTTTGAAATCAAATGTTACCGTTTTGGACAATGCTAACCTGACCTGGATACCCCAGGCTAGCCCAATCTCATCAGATCTCGGAAGCTAAGCAGAGTCGGCCTGGTTAGTCATTTGGTTGGGAGACCGCCAGGGAACACCGGGGTTGCTATGCAGAGGCAGGTGATGGCAAACAACCTCTGAACATCTCTGGCCTTGAAAACCCCATGAGGAATTGCCACAAGTCAGCTGCAACCAGTGTTCCCTCTAAGCTGAGTTAGTGTGAGCTAGCTCACAGTTTTTTAGCCTCTGGCTCACACATTTTTGTCCTAGCTCAGGAAGGGTGGCTCCAGAGCAAACTAATTTATGCAGTAGCCAAATCACTTGCTCACAACTTTAATGCCGGTAGCTCACAAAGTAGAATTTTTATTCACAAGACTCCACAGCTTGGGGAACATTGGCTGCAACTTGACAGTATTTCTCTCTCTCACACACACAGAATGCCTTGATATGACTCAGTATAAGGAAGTGTCGTGTGTGCATTCTCCTTTTAGCAAACCTCTAGCTTTCATGGGATGTTTTTATGTGGAAAGTATTTGATAAGGGTACAGAGCACCAGGCTGTCGGAATTGTGAAGGGGGAGTCTACCTGCTCACCATGTTCTCTTGGGGGAAAAGGGATCTTAATTTTTTTTTTGTCTCCACGCTCAAAATTCCATCCAGTCTTCCTCTCTAGTCCTTGACACATGAGAAATTGTGTGTTTATAGCTGCTGGGGACGGGCCATGGCTCAGTGGTAGAGCCTCTGCTTGGCATGCAGAAGGTCCCAGGTTCAGTCCCCGGCACATCCAGTTTAAAGGATCAGGTAGTAGGTTAAGTGAAAGACCTCAGCCTGAGACCTTGGCTGACAGTCTGAGCAGACAGTACTGGCTTTTGAAGAACCAGTGGTCTGATTCAGTACAATACATCTTTGGGCGTCTTTTTTCTGAAGAAGCCAGAGCCAGTGTGGGGCAGTAGTTCAGAGTGGCGGACTCGAATCTGGAGAACTGGATTTGATTCCCCACTCCTTCTCCACATGAAGCCTGCTGGGTGACCTTGGGCCAGTCACAGTTCTCTCAGCTCCACTCTAAGCTGTGGAGTCTTGTGAGCAAAAATTCTACTTTGTGAGCTACTGGCATTAAAGTTGTGAGGGAGCGATTTGGCTGCTGCATAAGTTCGTTTGCTCTGGAGCCACCCTTCCGGAGCTAAGACAAAAAGGTGTGAGCCGGAGACTAAAAAACTGTGAGCTAGCTCACGCTGACTCAGCTTAGAGGGAACACTGCTCACAAGGTGATTGTTGTAGGGAGGGGAAGGGAAGGTGATTGTAGGCCGCTTTTGAAACTCCTCAAGGTAGAGGAAAGGAGGGTATAAAAACCTACTCTTCAACTCTTCTTTCAAAATGTGGCTTCCCGTGGTTAAAAAACTTGGTTGTTGGTAAATTTGGAATGAGTCTACCCCTCATGACTCCATTTCTCCTTCCTTCCAACAGCACCACATCCACCCTTGCCCTGCCTGTGGGATGGTATATAGAGCGGATGAACATCACCCACCCATACTGCCAGTCAGGCCTGAGCTCCCAATGCTGCTAAGTGGGCGCTGGGTGAGTTCTCGGTGCGAGGTGCGGCCTGCGGTGCTTTTCCTCACGAGGTACTTCACCTTCCACGGTAGCAACCGCACCTGGGAAGGGTACTATTATCACTACTCTGACCCTCTCTGCAAACAACCAACTTTCACTGTGTATGCCTCAGGCCACTACACCGAGGGAGGCCCGTCCCTCATCGTGAGAGGAGGCACGGAGCTTGTCTTCAAGGTGACCTACGCTCGGGTTACGCCAATGGATCAGGTGACCGTAGCCACGCTGAACTCCTCCGACTTCGGAAGCTGTGGGGAGCCCGGCTCTTGGAGCGTTGGGAGAGAGTTGGATGTGACTCATACGAACGGATGCGCGGCCTTGGGCATCAGACTCCCCCACACCGAGTACGAACTCTTCAAAATCGAGCAGGACGCGAAAGACCGTAACTTGCTGTTCATCGGTGAGAGGCCGACGGACGGATCCAGCCCCAACACACCCAGCAAGCGGCCCACCTCTTACCAGTCAGCGCTCACCCAGTGTGCTGGGCCCTCAGGCACTTTTTTGAGACACATTAAGCCAAACTACCTGGGAAGATTAGATGACTACCTTAACAGCGGAGCGCTAAAGCTGCGGCCCGGAGCATTTTTACTAGCATTTGTTGCCCTGTCGCTGGTCAGGTGGGACTAAAACTCTTTGACATTTTTGGTCAGGAATCTGACCAGCCTGAAGTGCCCTCTTCAGGACAAGTACATCTGGAATCAGTTTCGTTTTGTGCCTTAACAGTTTTTTGTTCTTTTCTTAATGATGAGCCGTGCCCAGAGGGGTGGGGATTTCCGCCCTCCTCCCCATTCATATGTGCCTAGGTATGGACATGCAACTCTGAACCAGCATTCACGGTTCCTTAACCAGTTTTAAAAAAAACAAACAGGTGACTGTAATTGTACCAAATATACACATACCTTGCCTGCTCCTTCAGTGCTAGACCTGAGGACATTTTTTTCCTGCCCCACAGTTAAAAATATATATTCTAAAATACCAAGGAACAATTCTGCTTTCACAAGATAATTTACTTTTGGGTTCACTGTGTTCTCAGACGAGCACATTACCCAGGTGTACACATAATCCACAAAGGTACTGTTGGAAATGGTACTATGGAATCCCCTGATAGTGTAGCTTTCGTAATATGCCACGTGTGGGAATACAGACACAGGAAATCGTTCTTAAAACCAGAGGATGTGGCCGAAAAAGATCACTGTCTCCCAGCCCCATTTGGTGAGCACCCGACTACTGTTTCTGGAAAACATTCATTTATTTTAACCAGCTTATATTATTCCTGGGGGCAGCAAGAGTGTTAGGCTTCACAAATTTTGGTCGGCATCAAGAAGGCAGAACACTCTTTGACTTTAGGATACCGAAAAACGAACAGCCTGGTGCTGTGGTAATAATATTCCCGAGTCTCCATACTGTGATTCAGAGAACTGGGGAAATGCTGCAGACTCTTAGGTAGTCTCCCCTTCCTACTTTGGCAAATTGTATTTTGCTGTTACAGCCTTATGAAATAAATTATGGTTGGCCTGCATGCCAGTAGTGAAAAAGGAAGTGAGCGCAGGGGCAGAGAGATGACAACGTAAGAACATAAGAGACGCCAATGTTGGATCAGGCCAAAGGCCCATCCAGTCCAACACTCTGTATCACACAGTGGTCAGAAATACCAGTGCCATCAGGAGGTCCACCAGTGGGGCCAGGACATTAGAAGCCCTCCCACTGTTGAGCCCCCCCCCCAAGCACCAAGATGACAGAGCATCACTTGCCCCAGAGCCCCTATCTGTACCTTGTGGCTAATAGCCACTGATGGACCTCTGCTCCATATGCTTATCTAATTCCCTTTTGAAGCCGTCCATGCTTGTAGCCGCCACCACTTCCTGTGGCAGTGAATTCCATGTGTTAATCACTCTTTGGGTGAAGAGGTCCTTCCTTTTATCCGTTCTAACCCGACCGCTCTGCAGTTTCATGGAGTGCCCACAAGTTCTTGTATAGTGAGAAAGGGAGAAAAGTACCTCTTTCTCTACCTGCTCTTTCCCATGCATAATCTTATAAACCTCGATCATGTCACCCCTCAGTCGTCGTTTCTCCAAGCTAAAGAGCCCTAACAACACGCAGGCCCAATGCTCAGACACAAACTCTCAAATTCAAGAGAACCAAAACAGAGTCTGGGATCTTCCCGCCTGGCAACTGAGGGTAGGGACACATTGGGGGGGGGGGCTGTGACACGTGCACCACTATGTCACTTCTGGGGAGAACTCGGAAGGGACGTAGTGGCAGCTCTAGGAATCACTGAAGACTCTATGGTTTTACTAGCAAGGACAGCTGCCAGCAGAAGGCCTCCCACGGGAGGAGGCCTGGTAGCCCTGTTGCCTAGAATTCCTAAAACTGTCCTCAAGGGACTTTGGGCAGCGTTCTGGCTACGATTATGAGAATTCCCACTATCCTCTGAAGAACAGCAAGATTATAGTCCTCTGTGATACTTGAAAAAGTAGCAGAAAATCTGCTTAAAATATAAGGATATCCACCCCACCCCACCCTGTTTCTGTTTCGTTAACGCCCACCATTTCAGCCAGACCCGCATTTATCACAACGCAAAAAATACAATGCCCGACTGTGGCCTAGGGTTGCCAATCTCCAGGTGATGCCTGGTGATCTGGTATTGCAGCTGATCTCCAGAGAACAGAGATTTGTTCCCCTGGGGCAGCTTTTGGTAGGTGGACTCTACGGCCTTATTCCCCACCGAGGTCCTTCCCCTCCCCAAACTCCTCCCTCCCCAGGGTGGAGTTCATCAGATGGGCCTCTCCAGGCTCCACCCCCCAAAAAATCTCCAGGTATTTCCCGACCAGAGTTGGCATCCCTACAGTAGCCTCCAGCAGCCAATAGGGAGCTCCGTAACCCCCTGGTTGGCAGATGGCTGGCCTGTCACAATTCACAGCAGATGGGCTACGTTCATTTGGGTGGCTCACGAATGATCAATCTTCCTGTGCTTCAGAGTCTTTCTTCAGACATTACCAAGTGATGGGCTGGGTCGGGGATTCCCCACCCTCTGCAACCATCACACGGAGTTGTGGGTTCTCCTCAGTTCCTGTGCACCTGGCCGCCCAGTTCAGATGGTAGCTGCAGTATGTGTGGAGAAGGAGCATCATCTTTCTCCCCCACATTTTCCAACCTGCGGGTATACAGAGTGTACACTGTATGGCCTGTTAAGGCAAGCCGGTGAGTGTTGCCTGCAGGTGTTACAGGTGGCCAAGGCAGCAGTTTTCTGTGTGAGAATCCTCATTCCAGTGAGGAAAGGAGCCACCTATTGGTAAGTGGGGGGAAATGCTCCAAAGGGTATTGTTTTTTTACATCACACAGCTTCCTGTTTCTCTCAGGCAAACCAATCCTTTCTGTGTTGGCACCATTCCTCTCTTAAAACACCCAACTGAATTAACTCTGGAACGCACTGCTTCTGGCAAAGGAGGAAATGAGGCCAATGTTTGTGTTATTTCTTGTTTTCTCACCGTAGTTTCCAAAATAATCTGGCAGCTGTTTTTTGGAAGCCGGGAGTTGCAGGGTAAACAAAGGCTATCGCATTTTGTGAAACTTCTCGGAAAAGGAGAGGTTTGCAACGAGGAGCCGAACATTTTGGTTTTTTTAAAGGGCAAGCTGTTGATAATACAGTAACTCAGGACAGCATGTTAAAAAATGACAGTCTAAAACCCACGGCTTGCTTTCTGGCTGGAAGGAAAGGAAGGAAAAGTTACCTGGGGAAGGTTTCCAACTGCAAACGTTTTCTTGCCCACAGAGGAATTTCAAAAAAATCAGCTATGCAATTCCCACAATGGACATCGGTATATTTACACGGCCGTGGCTAATATGTAGATAATTGCAGGATGTTCTGGAAGATGCTGTTGGGAACTCTGCTTTAAGAATGGAATCAGATGTACTGCTTATGCCAATGTACAATTTTTTAAAACAAAAAATGTATTACAGCATGTTACTTTTTCACAGGGAACTTTTTAGAAAACATGTACATAAACAGCTGCCATCTTCTTGTACAAGGGTTGTTTTTAATTATAAGCTGGGGCGCAATTGTAGGATTTATTTAGATGCTTTCATACTCTAAACACACACACCCTGTCCACAGGTACCATCACACTCACTTATTACACAGAGAAAAGAGCCACACCTGGCTTTCTTCCATCTTACTGAAGAAGAAGGTGGTCCAGAAGAGCCCAGGAAGTATCATCTTTGTGTTTGCAAGGAACACCCATTCAGAAACAGCTGCCTTTGTTATAGGGGAATCTCTTGACTTCCACCATTTTGTGATTGCCCCCCCCCGAATCCAATGGCAGCCATTTTGAGTGGTGTTCCACTAGCTGTCCTCAAAATCCCAACAGTGCCCACAGGTTCAGCAAGGGAAGGGCCCCCGATTTAGACAGGCCTCAGAGTGTGAACTTGGAAACCAGCCTGAGAAGCTTGAAACCAACTGAGGGGCTGTTGCCAGCTGAAAGCTCAGGGGAGAATTACTAGGAAAAACTTTGGCCTGAGCTGGTAGTAGGCGAAATGGGGCACTGGTCTGACCCAGAGAGTAGGTGAAATTGGGAAGGGAGCACCGTTTTCCAATTAATTTCTCAATGTTGTTAGCTACCCCACTCCACCACTCCCTTGCAAAAAGGATGGAACGGTACTGTCTTAGGAAGCAGATTCTGTTTAAAGATTTGAAGGGAATTTATCAGATGTGCCAGGGCACAGTCATTCTGGGATAATGAGGCCCTGTGACAAGTTTTTAAACCAGTGGGGAGAGGGAATGAAGCATTTCCTCATAAGAACATAAGAGACGCCAATGTTGGATCAGGCCAAAGGCCCATCCAGTCCAACACTCTGTGTCACACAGTGGCCAGAAATACCAGGTGCCATCAGGAGGAGGTCCACCAGTGGGGCCAGGACATTAGAAGCCCTCCCACTGTTGACCCCCCCAAGCACCAAGATGACAGAGCATCACTTGCCCCAGAGCCCCTTCAAGGGGAAGGTAGATTCAACAGCCATCTATCCACCCGAAGCTTGCTTCAGAGTTCAGATACGGTAATGAAGCAGAACCAATTGCTAATCTATGCATGGATTCAGAGCTCCGTGCCAGAGCCGCTTCCCACACCTCTAGCCCACGCAGGATAAGGAGGAGGAGAAAACAGGTTACCCAGTTGGGTACCCTCCCTGCAATGGCCTCTGTGCTTCAGGATAACGTGCTTCCATGCAACCAGACACAATCCTCAGTTCTTTTAAGTCCATGTGAAACACTGAAGCAAATCAGCAGCCAGGGTTTTGGGAAAAGGATGCGCCACAGCCACTATAAAGTCAGCAGAAATGAGAAACTGGATTGCTGTCCTAACCTGGATGGCCCAGGATAGCCTGAGCTCCTCAGAATCTAAGCCGGGTCGGCCCTGGTTAGGACTTGGATGGGCGACCACCAAGGAATTCCAGGGTTGCTATGCAGAGGAAGGCAATGGCAAAAACCACCTCTGAACATCTCTTGCCTTGAAAACTTATAAGTCGATTGTGACTTGATGGCTGGCACTCCACGTGCACGCGTAAAATATGAGTGCTAATAAAGCTTCATCCCAAATGAAAGGAAGCAGGGAGAGAGCAGCATCTAAGGGAGACACATCCACTTTGTGCTTTTGGACAGCAGTCGCACACACTTAACAATCCCTCTTATTGCAAAATGAGATTTGGTGGCAGCTGTAGGAGTGCATCTGATTGAAGGTAAGATATTCCTGCTTCTAAGCAACCCACCAGTGGCACCTGGGTATTAAACTGCCTGACCCAAGTCCCAGTGGGGAAAACACAGCTCATGAGGGAGAAAAGGTGATACTAGGATCTCTCTCTGATATGATGGTAGTTTTAAATGAAATTTGTGGTTGTGGCTCAGTGGTTGGCATGCAGAAGGTCCCAGGTTCAATCCCCAGCATCTCCGGTTATAAGGACCAGACAGTAGGTGATGGGAAAGACCTCTGCTCTGAGACCCTGGAGAGCCAGTCTGAGTAGACAATACTGACCTCGATGGACCAAGGCTCTCATTCAGTATGAGGCAGCTTCTTGTGTTCATGTGCCTTCAAATGAAACCATTAAAATAGTAATTCTGTTTGATGAGTTTTGTCCTATACTCTGCAGCAAACCTCAGATATCCTTACAACAGTCCTGCAGGGGTATACAATATAAGGTGGCAGAATTATAGTGGCCTGCAAAGTGTCTGGCAATCACTACTTCTCTGGTTTGCAGTTATATAACCAGGTTTAGTGAACCACACCACAGATTGGAATCTGGCTCGTAAAACAGAGATTATGCATAGGGGTGTGCAAAAAAAATTCAGCTCGATTCGGATTCTGCCGAATCGGGCAGAATCAATTTCAGCGGGCATAAAGACTCCTGCATGTCAATTTCGGCAGTAGGCGCTGATTCAGGAGTCTTTTGGCCAGCCAAAAGTCAGTTTCAGCCCCATTTTATCCTATGGGCCATTGAAGTCAATGGTGAAAACATAGGGTATATTCTGGGGGCTGGAGGGGAGGAGGTTTGAAGGAGAGGCTCCAAACTCGCAGGTTAGCTGCTGGAGCCTCTCCCCAAGATACCAACCAATGTTCAAGAACATTGGACCAGGGCGTCCAATTCTACGGGCCCTCAAACAGGTTGCCCCATCCCCTCCATTGTTCTCTACGGGGCAACCTGTTTGGGGGCCTGTAGAATTGGACCCCCTGGTCCAATGTTCTTCAAACGTGGTTGGTATCTTGGGGAGAGGCTCCAGCAGCTACCCTGTGAGTTTGGAGCCTCTCCCTCAAACCTCCTCCCCTCCAGCCCCCAGAATATACCCTATGTTTTTGCCATTGACTTCAATGGCCCATAGGATATAATGGGGCCGAATTGCCACCGAAATTCGGTGGCAAGCTGATTCAGATCAGAGAATCTGAATTGGCCTGCAGCAGCCCCAAACGGGTCCGAATGGGCCAGTTTCGGGGGGTGCAGTTTGGACGAACCGAATGCACATCCCTACACATACCCATGGCAGCGACTGGCTCAAGGCCACCAAATAAATTGAAAACGTAATTTATATTCTTGCAATTAGAATGATACATGAGAGGAGGCATCTATCAGTGGCTGTTGGGAAGGCTCTGGACTCTGTCCCCGGCTTCTGGAGCTGGAAAACAAGACACTGGACTAGAGGGATCTCTGATCTGACCCAGGGGGGCTCTCTTTCAATTGGGGATACCATGGTTCATAGCTCAAGCCAGCTACAAGGTTTGCTCTCAAAACAAAGCAAGGTCTAATAAAAGGAAACCCACTTCCCAGTTCATGTCACTCTTTAGCATCTCTTATAGCAACAGCTGTGTGCTCAACTGTTACTAATGGCAGTTCTAGCAAAACAACTGTGTGCCACATTTCCCGCAACATATTCATAAAGGAGACTTCGTAAAAGTGTAATATATCTATTATATGCAGTCAATATGCCCATACAGAATAATAGAAGGGAGCACTCCCTGGAGAAGACCCTGATGCTGGGAAAGACTGAAAGTCAAAGAAGATGGGGACGGCAAAGGATGAGATGGTTAGACAGTGTCATAGATGCAACGAACATGAAATTGAGCCAACTTCAGAGGACGGCGGAAGACAGGAAGACCTGGCGTGATCTGGTCCATGGGGTCGCAAAGAGTCGGACTCGACTGTGCGACTGAACACCACCACCTTGTAAGGAACTGAAAAGGGATTTTCAGCAGTGGCTCTTCATTCCTGAGGAAGGACCAGAGGTCTGAAACACTGAAAAATTACCTGAGAAAAGTGTTGGACTTCCTATATATAATTCTGTATATTTACTCTTTGGCCTCTGTATTTCCTGAAGATGGGTTGTATGGGCATATTGACCGCATATAATAGATATATTAGACTTTTATGAAGTCTCCTTTATTAATATGTTGCGGGAAATACAGCACAGAGTTGTTTTGCTAGTTTTTTGTCACTTTTTACTGTGTGCTGTACCTTTGTTGTTGTACTCAAGGCAGTTTTGCCAGAGACCCAAATGCACGATGGGAGCTGCAGAACTCAAGGAGATGGGTGCAAAATGAGCTCTGATTTTTTTTTTTTAAAGGAGATACGTCCAAGAAACAATGGAACACAATGAATCAGAGTGTGCAGGAGACCTATCTAAGGCTCAGATCCTATGACCTCGTTCCACTCATACTTCTCTCCAGCCCACTGCAGCGGCTGTCTTCTACCGTGCAATTTACTACCTCTAGCTCCTCCCTGGCCTTGTGTAAGCGTAAAGGCTAATGGTAGAGGAAGCAACCGCTGCAGCGGAGAGCAGCGACCAGAGAGAAGAGCAAGAGGAACACGGTGGCACGATCCAAACTCTAAAGCACTGTGCCTATTATCAGCAGTTCTTGCAAAGCTTTGAGGGAATGATACTCTGTTGAAAAGCTTGAAAGCACTCGCGAGAAGCGCCGTGGGGGCACATCAGAGGAGACTGGCTCGACTTCAAAGCATCTCAGCGAGCATCTCCCTGTTTTCGCAATTCCATCTGCGCGCCTTGGATCAGTGCTCATCAGATTAATATCGAAGGCCTTTATTCAGATGTCGTGTCAGGATACACGCAAGTGCTCAGTTGGAATTCACACATGCTATTAAGTCAAGACATCGCAGGCCACTTCATGGAACACCACCACCACCCCTGGGGGAGCGTCATGGATCAGCTGTTTGTTGTAAGATTAAATTACCCACACTGGATGTTCTCTCAGATTTATAAAAAAAAAACCCAGTAGTTTGCATTTATGGCATTGCTTAATTAAAAATGGGGGGGGGCAGTCCACACAGTCCTGATAACACCCTTTAAGCATGTCTCAACAGCTCATCTATTTAAGTTTTGCTCCCTGTGTGTCTTGACACACTTCCCAGTTTTCAATCAGGGAAAGTTGTATTTATGAGTCACTTTCCTTGATAGGGTGAAGAACGGCCATCACAGAATTGTATGAGAAGGGAAAAGCAACTACTTAAAAAGGCGGTTGCCAATCTTTTATTTAATGAGGTACTTCTGAGTAATGAAAAGGATCCCAATGCCACACCTACCCACCATCCCAGGGACTGTGGCTCAGTGGCAGAGCATCTCCACACTTACCTACCATCCCAGGGACTGTGGCTGTGGCAGAGCATCTTTTTTGGCATGCAGGAGGTCACGGGATCAATCCCCCAGCATCTCCAGTAAGGATCTGGCAGTAGATGATGTGAAAGATCTTGGCCTGAGACCCTGGAGAGCCGCTGCCAGTCTGAGTAGACAATACTGACTTTGATGGACGAGTTTTCTGATTCATTAGAACGTTGCTGCATAGGCGATGAGCTGATTTATGCTTGCCTGCAGAAACGTATGGACCCCAATTGGGTTCCAGAATGCTCTGCAGGATCCAGTGCCCTCCGGTGACTTGTTAGATGAGCTAATAAGAGGACAGGAACCACCGGCTCTCTGAAGCCACTGACGAAATCACTCCCTGATGTCCTCTCTGCCCCCGTACCAAAGTAGCCCCATGATATACCATGGAGCTGAGGAGGATGAAATGGGAGCTGACACGACTACAGTGAATCTTGTGATGAAGCGACGACAACTCCTTATAGGATGCTTACGAAAGTTCCCTTCTCAAGCTCACCCAATCCCCCTCCTTACTACAGCCCCCATCCTGCATGGTTTTTATCCAAGCAGGCCCCATTGCCTTTTGGTGGTCGAAGGTGACCCCTTTTTCTCTTTTCCACCAGCAGAAAATCTGGTTGGATCCAACCTCATGTGCTTTTTTTGTTGTTCCAGATATACATGATAAACTGTGACTTGAGCAAACACAACCATTTCTTTACTCATGTGCCATCCCACAGAAGCTTTTCCAAATATGAGGTTTGAGGATGTAGATGTCTTGACTAGCCAACCAGTTTGTTCAAAGTGTGGTATGCGAACCGGCTTCAAGCTGCTGTTTGAACCTCGAGTTTGGAAGCAACCCTCAAAACCAGGGTTTGATCATTCTGATGTTATCAGCAACCTGTGGGCTCCTGAAGGCTTCTTGGCAGGCGTTAGCTGCTTCATGCAGTGTACCAGAGACTCAAGTCAAGTTGGAAGAATTGCTAACAGGCATACAGATGCAAAATCTCCAGAAATTTCAAAGCCACGGGAAAAATTCTTTTTCTGGGAAAAACAGAACCTTGGGGGGGGGGATTGAAATAGATGCAATGCTTACTTTCCTATCAAGCCTAAACCTATTTTGTTGCTTCAAAAAATGCAGTTTATAACCTAGGTGACATATATGACTGTATTAACTGGCATATTTACAGAACTTAACACTATAAATAACTTCATAAGCAGAACTGCAAATATACCAGGTATTTTTTAAAGCTGAAAACTGCTGCACTGTATGGGTATCTTGGCATATTTCATCCCCTTCTAAAAATGAAAAAAGATGTATTGGAAAAATAAAGTCTTTAAAAAGCTGGCTGACATTTCTTCATAGTGGCAATTCTGTTTTGCGAAGTGAAGCAAAAGACTTGAGTAATAACACAGAGACAAACATTCCAATAATTTGGGGGGAGATTTATTTGATTTTTTTTTGTAAGATGCTACATAGTCAAACAGGATTGGTCTTTTTTTTGTTTTGAACAGCATAGAACTAATTCCTACTCATTTTCCCCTACATAGACTTATTTTATATACAAAAAAGAAAAAACAGTTTCCTGACCGCTGTTTTCCCCAATGTTTAGATGATCAAAACTGACAATTGTGGTGCCCAAAGCATTAGGAGGCCGAAGAATCCATCATCACTACAGCAACAGAAATAAAAAATAAAATTAGTTCTATCCACCAGCTTCGAACAGGCGCCCCTTCCCCCCTTCTCTCTCGCTTAACCATTTATATAGCAGTAGTCAAATGTCCGCGGCGACAAGGAAAACATGAGATGAGATACATTAAATAAGTTAAATAGGCATTAAACATTTTTTCTGACTACGAAGTGTTTTAACTCTGCTACACCAACCAACAGCAACTGGAATTGGTCCCTCTTGAATAACAAGGCAGCGATGCTCGATCCCCACACACCCAGCTAAAGCAGAGGACTCTTTGGAGTCGCCTCTTGATACAGCCAGAGTCAGCTGAAAGCTGTTCACTGCTTAAGTGTCCAGAATCGAATTAAAATGGAGACACAGTGAGAGAGATCCTACCGCTGTGGGCCTAAACCTGCTCACCCTCTCCCCCTTTCCCACACACAGGGCAGTGAAGGACCAGGAGTTCTGCCAAGGTCATTTCCTTATCCACTGGTGCAGGTCTCAGTCAGCAAGAGAGATGGCCTCTCTATCGGGAGCGCTATTCAAAACCAACACTAAGCGGCTGAGGGGAAAGGGGGAGATGACTTCTCTTCACAGCTGGGGGAAAAGTGGAGAAGGCCGCGGGCACCAAAGAAACATCTGCTACGAGTGGACACCAGGGAGACCCGTCCCCACCACAAGACTGAATTCCCAAATCCCTCCTCTCTCCAGAAGCTTCGCGAGAATGTAGTGGTTAGAGAGGGAAGATTATACGAGAGACATCCCACAAGCGTGCGCACACACACACACACACACACTTCGATGTGTGAGTGAGCACGTTGGATTTTGCTGTAGGGTGAAAGAAGCAGGGAAGTCTTTCACAAATGCAACAAGGAAGAGGATACAAAAAAATAAAAATAAAAGGATGTGATGGACGAGGGGGCAAAAGCATATGGTCCCCATTAACACGATGCCATTCCCAAGTGGAACACAGACGGACAGGCAGGCAGGAGGAAACGATTTTATCTGACTGGACTAACAGCAGGGGGGAGGGTTCAGAGTGCACAATGCAATGGCCCACGCCGTTCCAAGATCCGACAAAAAAAAATATCTAGTTAAACAGGAGCCACAAAACCGGATTTAAAAATCAGGAGCCACCTCACCTGTGAGAACAGGAGCACTCCGGGCCGCTAAACAAAGGCTAGGAAGGTAACCCCAGGATGTCAAGCCAAAGCCCCTCCCGCTATCAAGTCCTCCTCGACAGGAGCCTCACAGAGAAGGAGAGGCATAGAAATCGAGGGCCCCTCCCTGTCTCCGGTCTGCTCGACCCACTGCCAGCTTCTGAGACCTTCTGTTTGCATCTATCCTGCCCGCCACTGGGACCAATTGCAAGACTATGCATCAGTTCTGTGGCTCTGGTGCCGCTGGCGGCCTCTGGGAGGGGCAGACCTGCTCCGAGCCCTCCTCGCTTTCTCCCAGAGTTCCGATTCTCTGCAGCTGCCGAACCCTCGGCAATTCAATGCTCCTGCGGACAAGATGGGACTCGGAGAGGAGCGGCCACGCTGCCAGTTTGGGGGAGGGAATCTTGGGAGCTGCTCGGGGAGTCACGCGGCAGACAGGATTCTGAGTTCAGAGTCACACCCACTTGACAGAACTGTTAAACATATGTGGAGGAATGGCGGAGAGGGGGCTAAATATATTTTACAGAAAGCCAACCACCATCCATGTTTAAGCCAGCCCCTGGGTGGCCAACAAAAGGACCAGCCCCCTCAGAGAAATCTCTCCCCCCCCCAACCCTCCACAAGAAGAGAAGTCCAGTAATATGAACCAAGGTCCGAGACATGTTTAAAGTGACTTTCTTTTCCCTTCCAAACAAACGCACCGCTATAGTGTTAAAACTCATGATTCTCTTTCCTCGTTGCTCGCAACTCCTTCCTTCTCCTGCTTACGCCTTTGTGCATCTTAAACTTTCTAGAAGATTATGTTATGTTAAATGTTATATTTGTGCAGGGGGGGGGGGTAAAAATTTAAAAGGCAAGACCTGTGAGATGTCATACATTTTTTTTAAACATTTGTTATGAATAAATTTAATCCAATGATATGGCAGATCCCTCCATCCGATTTACAATCCTCCAGCATGCTGCCTCTACAAGGCAATTTTCCCTATAATTACGCCAACAATAAAGAACAAGACCACCAGGGCGAGTAGTCTGGTGCTGAGACCCTCCTCCTTTGCAACGGCAGAAGAAGTAGAGACTGGGTGGTTTGTCTGGGGTGCCTTCCTCATCCGCAGCCCATCTTCTTCCTGCAGCAAAGAAACGATGTGAGAAACGTTTAGAGACATTACACATGAGCCTAGGTGTTTATTTAAAATCTTAGCCTGGTGTAGTGGTTAAGACTCTAATCTGAGAGAACCGGGTTTGATTCCCCACTCCTCCACATGCAGCCAGCTGGGTGACCTTGGGTCAGTCACAGTTCTCTCAGAGCTGTTCTCTCAAAAGTAGTCCTCGAAAGAGCTCTCTCAGCCCCCACCTACCTCACAGGGTGTCTGTTGTGGGGACGGGGAGGGAAAGGTTAAGCCGTTCTGAGATTCTGAGTGAAGGGCGGGATATAAATCCAACTTTTTTTCTTCTTCTTCACTTACTTCTCTAATCTGAGAGAGCTGGGTTTGATTCCACACTCCTCCACTTGCAGCTGCTGGATGACTTTGGGCAAGCCACAGTTCTGTCAGAGCTGTTCTTGAAAAGAGCAGTTTCTGTCAGAGCTCTCTCAGCTCCACCTACCTCACAGGGTGTCTGTTGTGGGGAGGGGAAAGGAAAGGAGTTTGTAAGCCGCTCTGAGACTCCAAATGAAGGGCAGGATATCAATAAAAAACTGGCTAATTAATTTGTGGATAAAAAACTGGCTAATTAATAGGAAACAGAGAGTGAGTATAAATGGGAAATTTTCTCAGTGGAGGGTGGTAAGCAGTTGGGTACCACAGGGATCAGTACTCAGTCTGATGCTTTTTAACTTGTTCATTAATGATTTGGAGTTGGGAGTAAGCAGTGAAGTGGCTAAATTTGCGGATGATATGAAGTTGTTCAGGGTGATGAAAACCAGGGAGGAATGTGAGGCACTCCAAACAGACCTATCGAGGATGGGCAAGTGGGCATCAAGATGGCAAATGGGCTTCAGTTCAATGTGGTCAATTGCAAGGTGATGCACATTGGAGCCAAAAATCCTAACTATAAATACACGTTGATGGGGTCCGAACTGGCAGAGAGTGACCAAGAGAAAAAAGGCCAATGCTATGCTGGGGATTATTAGGAAGGGTATTGAAAACAGATCAGCCAATATCATAAGGCCCCTATATAAATCAATGGTGCGACCTCATTTGGGATACGGTGTGTAGTTCTGGTCACCACACCTTAAAAAGGATATTATAGCTTTGGAAAAAGTGCTGAAAAGGGCAACTTGGATGATAAAAGGGTTGGAACACTTTCTCTATGAGAAAAGGTTAAGGCGCTTAGGGCTCTTTAGCGTGGAGAAACGACGACTAAGGGGAGACATGATTGAGGTTTATAAGATTATGCATGGGAAAGAGCAGGTAGAGAAAGAGGTACTTTTCTCCCTTTCTCACAATACAACAACTCGTGGGCACTTCATGAAATTGCTGAGTGGTCGGGTTAGAACGGATAAAAGGAAGTACTTCTTCACCCAAAGAGTGATTAACACACAGAATTCACTGCCACAGGTGGTGGTGGCGGCGGCTACAAGCATGAATGGCTTAAAGAGGGAATTAGATAAGCATATAGAGCAGAGGTCCGTCGGTTGATATTAGCCACAAGGTATAGACAGGGACTCTGGGGCAGGTGATGCTCTGTCTTCTTGGTGCTTGGGGGGGGGGTCAACAGTGGGAGGGCTTCTAGTGTCCTGGCCCCACTCCTGGACCTCCTGATGGTACCTGGTATTTTTGGCCACTGTGTGACAGAGTGTTGGACTGGATGGGCCATTGGCCTGATCCAATATTGGCTTCTTTTATGTTCTTATGTTTTTAA